ACCAAATTTTATACTAGCCACTATATCTGCAATCTAACTAGAAGATTATCTATTTAAGTTTTTAGTTTTTACAAACAAGAGTACAACTAGCTATACATGCAACTTTTGGTTATCTATTTAAGTAGTCTGCTATAGGTTCCACACTAGCTACTATATCTGCAATTCAACTAAAAGATTCTCTATTTAAACTCTCTAGTTACAACTGGCCTGTTATTCTTTGTCTAATCAAAATATAACTTACTATTTATTAGCTAGATTTTGCACTATCTATAGATTTCACACTCTATCTAGAACTACTTTGTCTTTAAGGTAAATCTAACAAAGTGATACATGTTTATATATATATTTATATACATGTTTGATAACTTCTTCCTAACTAGTACTTGTTGTGTTGCTGCTACTAAATTTGTATCTTAAGCTATCTTTTAGAATACTGCTATAACCTAATCTATATTTCAAACTATAATCTTTTTATATTAATAGTTGGTTACTTATTTCATATTCTTGTATTTAGATTTATACAATCTTAGTACCATATTCAAACTTTTCCTCTTCTTTGAATTCTTTACTAGTCTTTTCTCTCTTACTTTTAACTAGCAACTCAGAAAAGTTGGTCTACTCAAACTTTAAATATTTATATAATCTTCCTTTTCTTGGTACATACTTCTAAAATATATACCTTTTTTCTCTAATTTGATGATCTGGTGGTTTAACTGGTGTGTTCTTCTACTTAAAAACCTGGTTACTTGGTTTTCTAATCTCATTTTAGTTCCAAATTTAGTTTTTTTATAATACTATTAAAGATCATACTACATCTTAACTCAAAACTTGCTAAATAGGTTTTTAGTTATTTTAGTATCTTAGATTTATTGTGTCAAAGCTCTTATTCTAGATAGAATAATCAAGGCTACAGATTTCTAGATTCTACTGATTGTTGAATAGCCATTAACCATATTATAGAGTTATTTTTCAAAAATATTATCCATGGGATTTAAACTCTAGATCTGCCATTTGGAAGTGTAACAACTTTACTATGTCACTAAGTTATCATATCTTTATTTATATTCTTTGTTTTAATAAATATATAGAATATTTGTTATAAACTTTATTGCTTTAAATAAAGACAAATAACTCTTAGTTTTATCAGTTTTAGCAGTTTTAAATTTCTTTTTAAAATTGGATATTGGCTAAATATTAACCTCTTTCTGACGATCTCTCATACCAAAAATTCCACTAATACCAATCTACGAATATTGTGTAATTAGTATGTTTTTTTATAACAAAACTTTGCCAAATATATAGTATCTGAGTTCAAGAGTTTCAGATTGTATATAAGCACTATAAAATAGAGTTAAAAAAGACAGCTTCTTGTGGGTTTGGCTCTCTGATAGAAGTTTATAGAGCTATCAAACAAGTAGTTTTGGTAACAATCAATAAAGTTTTTGTCAAGTTACAGTATATCTGAGCAAGTACAAGAATAAAAGCTTGAATAAATATACTATTCTATATAACATAAACTCTTACACTCCCTGTTTTGGTGCTTATCTTGGCCTGTCATCTTTACTATTACCCACTTGTACTTTTAACAAATTTTTCAAAAAAAGTGAGCAAAATAGCTTACCCCTATCAGAAGATCGGCATTGTTTACTTCTTCCAAATCTGAACAACCAGGTGAATTGCAACCACGTATTTTAGAGTAATCATAACAATAAATATAGTGCTACCTACAGAGGATTAGAACCTTCTATTTATTTCATATCCAGATTTGGTCATACGTTAGAAAAAAGATTCTAGATAAAGTAAAACTTTACAGTTGAGATATACTATAGTTGCAGTAGTTATATAATTTTTATTATTTAATCACAAACTACTTCTTGATAGAGGTAGATTAGTTAGCCTATCGAGGCTTTTCTTTTTGTTTTTTTTTTTTTTTATATTTTCCTGTTCTCCTATTTGTCTTCCTTTTTGCTTCCTCTTTCGATTATATGTTTTTTTTTAGTTTTAGTTTTCTTTTTGCTTCTTAATATTACTTCTGTATTGGTAATACAGAACTTTACTTTCTTGTACTCTCGATAAAGAAAGAAAGATTAAAGAGATTAGTTCTTAACAGGCTGACAAGGTCTTCTAACACATATGTGAATGAATCAGTATGACAAGTTGCATCTAGATACAGTATCTGTAACTAGGTAATACTAGGTTTATAACTGCAAAAGATATTTATTAGAAATAGGTTTTGTTTCTAAGACAGATTTCACCATGTAAATATTTATATTGAAGCATCAACAAGACTATTAAAGAATAAAAAAAATAAAAAAAAAATTTCTTTTCAAAATTAGTATTTTTAATCTTAATAGTTTTATAAATCTTAAATTGTTGTATTAGATTGAGTATACTATTAAAAGGCTAACAAATAATTTATTACAATTCTGTTATAATAGCTTTGGCAAAGCAAATTATCTATTTTTATACAGTATAGTCTGATAAAGTTTTGTTGGTTTGATTTTTAGTAATAATGTTTTTAGTTATCTTTTTTCAAGCTACTAATTGCTAGCTTTGGCAAAAAGTAATAATATACTTTAGTTATTTTTATTTTTAAATAAGATTTAAATTTAAGATTATTTTAAGATTATTTTATATAATAAAAAGCAATACTTTTATAAAACTAATTATAAAAAAAAATTTTTATAAACAAAATAGTAAAATATTACAGTTTAAAAAAGTGCTTTAAACTGTATAAATAAGTTATCTGAGCAATTGATTTATATTAACCAATCAGATGAAAGTTTTTCTATAACTAAAGGTCTGATATATTTACTTATTTGTGTAAATAATACAAATCTCTAAAAAAAAAATAGCTAATTAGAGAATACAAATTTTGGAAATTCTAAATTAGTTTAATATAGAATCTAAACATATACAAAAGAAGAAAAAAAAGAAAATAAAGCAAAAGTTAGCATTTAAATTGATCTTTGTTATTAGAGGTTTGACTTGGTTAAAAAATATATATTTGAATATTTATTTGTTCAATCTAATTATATTCAAATATTTATTAAAAATCTCAAATAAATATTTAAAATATTTAATGAATATTTACTGAATATTGTTATAATACTAATTTGAATTTTTAATGAATACTTTTTTGTAGCTTAGTATTTACTGAGTATTTTTTGTAGCTTAGTTAAGTATTTACTAAATAGAGTTTGAGTATTTAGTAAAAAATTTTTACATTGACTTTTTAGTATTTAGATTATATTTATAGAACAAGATCTATAGCAAATCACTAATTTTTTTTTTTTTTGGTATTAAGGTAATCTCTTTGGCTAGCAAACTTTTTATTAAATATAATATACTGTTAAACCTTCCAAAACCAGTATACATGGTGAACAGATTTTGCATCAGTATTAAGAGGTTATCAAATTTGAAAATATTATAAACTATTAGATTTATATAATGGAAACAGACTTGGTAGACTAATTTTTTATCAGATTTGTCAGGTTATCGATTTTGGGAGGTTCAACAGTATATTTATACAATTACAATGAGAGTATATCAAGCTACACATGTACTTTTGGTGTCTAATTTAAGTATATAGTACACCCAAAGGTTCTACACTATTTGCTATACCTGTACTCTGACTATAGGGATATCTATTTAAACTCTTTGATTACAACTGCTATTTACTACAACTTAATTCTTGGATATTATTTACTATACAGAAGTAGATTTTGCTTTTATCAATAGCTACTCAAGCTACAACTTTTCTAATTAGTTGCTTATTATATACTTCTTTGCTCTTGTAAGATTTACACAACCCTATCACTCATATTTAAACTTTTCTTCTTCTTCTGATTCTTTACTAGTTTTTTTTTTACTTCTAGCTAGCAACTTGGAAGGGTTAGTCTGCTCAGGCTTTAGGTGTCTTACAATTTCTCTCCTCTTGGTACATGCTTCCAAAGCATATATCCTTTTCCTCTAGTTTTGGCAACTCGACAGTTTGGCTAGTATGTTCCTCTACTTAAGAACCTGGTCGCTTGATTCTCCAGTCTTAGTTTCTTGTTTTAAATTTGGTCTTCTTGTAGTATTATTAAAGATTATGCTACCTTCTAACTCAGGACTTGCTAAACAGTTTTCAGTTATTCTAGTTCTTTGAGTTTATTGCACCAAAGCTCCTATTCTAGATTGTGTAACTAAGATTACAAATTACTAGATCCAACTAGTTAATAATAGCCATTAACCATATCACAGGGCTATTTTTTAAAAAACATTATCTATGAGATTCAAACTCTAAACCTGCTATCTAGGAGGTGCAACAACTTTATCACTACACTAAGTTATCACACTCTATGCAAATCACTAATTCTATTTTGTATAAAAATTTTATTAAACCTTATTTTATTACTTAAAAGATTCAAAGAGTTTATGTAATAGTAATTATAATATTATTACTTAAGTTTTTTATATCAAATTATTATTAAACATATTTTGTAGCTTGCTTGTTTGGTCTTTAACAATTTAAGTATTAATTTATTTAATATATATATTTCTGTATTTAGAAATACAACATATTCTATTTTAAAAAAATATTACTAATTGTTTATATTTTATAATTTTTAACTTAGAACTTGACTATACTACTTTATATTTTTTCTAAAATATTTGCTTGAGCATAAATATTGTCAAGTTCATTATTATTATACTTTAAAAACAACATTCATTCAAATAATCTAGGCTTCAATATTATTCTTCTAATAGTTATAATATTACTTGTATTACTAAAAAGCCTTTTGCTTGGAGTTGAAATTGCAGATATTGTGAGATATTGCCTAACAAACTTACTAATAATGAAAAAAAAAGCCTTTTAAAAATTTCACTAGTTAAATAGGTTTGATTTGTAGAATATTTCAGATAAAGAAAGATAATTATCAACTTCATCATTTGATTTATCAGAGATATCTTGTATTTAAAAATAATTTTTGATAAACTTGACATTCTTGATTATTTTAATCTTCATTAGAACTAAAAGATTTAGTAAATGAAGTTGTTAAAAATTGATAAAGAGATTTGGCATTGTTATTTTTAGTACACAAAACAGCTTTAGTTTTGTGTTGTTGAGATATGGTTGCAAATTGCAACTTTTTACACCTTGGGTTAAGAAAGTAAACAAAAAATACTTTACTGTTAGATAAGTCTCAATAATGCAAAAGTGCACTATACAGAGTATTTTTAATTTTGTGTCTCATATTTGCAATATTAGTAAATATATTAATATTAAACTTTCTTTTTTTGGTCCTTTTTTTTCTTCTTCCTAAATATTAATGAATCCAATATCTTTATTAAATACTAAATTATCTGTTTTAAAATTTATTTCATTATCTAATTATTTATTATAAGAGTTTGCAGAACTGGCTAATTTTTGTATTAGTACTAAAATAGACAAAAATATGTATAAAATAGTAATATATTCAAAACTACCAAACTTCTCTATAGTTTCATAAAAAGGACTCAAAATTATAACAAGAACTTTCATTAAATCTTACTCATCTTCGATTAGTTGTATTTGCTTTAATCTTCTTGTATCTTTATAGGCTTCAGAAACAGTAAGAACAGTTAATATTATTAAGACAATATTAATAGTATCCTTAATAAGTAAAAGGTATTCCCAAGCTAAGAAAGATAAGTTCTATTGTATGGGTATATCTATTTTTGCATAAAGGTATATTAAAGTTTTTTTAATCATCTATTATTAAAATAATTTAGTACTGAAATGAAAAACTAGTAAATATATATATTATATTTTATTTAAAATTTTTATTATCTTTTAAGCATTTTCTAGCTGTTTATTTTGTTTTGGTATTATAAAAAAATTAATTAATCATTTGGCCTATATTACAAGCTTTTTATCTAGTATTAGACCTTTTTTTATAACAAGTTGTAAAGTATAAGCAGAACAAGACATCCTTATAATATTGGTTATGTTATTGATTGTAGTCTTCATATTGGCTCTGTTATTAGTTATAATCAAATATATCTTTTCTATAAGACTCTAATCAGAAATATATTTTCTAATTTTTCTTAAATAGAATTAGCAGTATGCAAATATTTAATATAAGTTAAAAAAAGCAAGATTTCATGAATTTTAAATTCAAAGTCAAGTCACGAACAGGTGACATCAAGATATTCTTGCTTGTTATAAGCTATCCACAAATTTGTAGTAAGTAAGCAAGTTATCACACTATTTTGGAACTTTTCTTGTATACTTCTAGCATATTGATTATATAATGTATAAATTGTTTGTTTTATTTTTTTTTCACTAGGCAAAATAAATATCAGATTTAATTCTTTTATAAACTCACAAAAAAATTAACTTGATGCAAAGTTAAATAGCTAAGTATTACAGATAATAAATTTAATAAGAGCCATAATAAGCTTGTTATTCTTTGATTTATTATGTTAATAAGTGGTTGTAGTTGATACAAATAAGTCAATTTTAGTTTGCTTAGAAGGCTATGTAAAATGATGTTAGTTAAATTTTTTAATTGCAAATAAATTATTAATTTAATAGTTTATTTACATTATTATATTCAGATAATTTGAGCTTATCCTTTGTAATATCATGGGTGCTTGAAAAATAAGATATCAAATTTGAAGTTAAACCACTTGTTAATTTCAATTAAGACTTACATTCTTCAAAATTACTCAACACAAGACAAATGGTATATGTAATCTTAATATTAACTTTTTTATTAAGTTGTTAGATAGGTTTAATTACTTTTTTTTTTTCAAAGTAATTCTATACCCAGCTTTGTTTTTTTGAGCTACCTTTTTAACCAAATTTAGCTTTTTTAGAGATAGAGTTATTATAAATTTTGATATTACTTCTTGCACTTGTACTTATTTCTGATATTAGGCTACTCGATCTTGTAATAGAATCTGTAAATATTTTGTTAAATAGTTAAACTAATAAAGTTGATTAAAGTATTATTTTCTTTTATTATATTGCTAACAGCTACTCTTGTTTAATTAATTGAGATACTTTATAAATATCAAAATAATAGAATACTATTTATAAAGTTTTATGATTTAAAAGAGCTAAGCTATTGAATTATTATAATTCAAACTTAAAAGCTTTTAATTATACTAATCACACAATATCTATACAGATAACTTATATATAGACTTAATATATGGGCGGAGTGCTACAGAAAAGAGGGAAATCAACAAATTTTCAAAAAATTTTTTTTTACACAAATCAATTTAGAATAAGATTAGGTTCATTTTTTACTTAAAATTCAAAAGCAGTTGTATTAATAAAATTTTGTAATATAGCTCTTTAAAGTTTATATTTTCTTATGATTTATTATAAAATTTATAACATAAAAATTGATCTTCTGAAGATCTTTTGTTTTGTTGATTTCCCCCTTTTCTGTAGCACCAAACCCATATATAGTTGTATTGTATATACTTTGATTATTCATATATATATACTTGCATAGCTATGACTAATATATACTAAATTATATAAATAAGTCTTTTTTATTTTTTACACAACTACACTGTTTCTTGATTGTCTTAACCATTTCTTTTTTTTAACATGCTTTAGTTCCAAAAAATTCTATAATAACTGCAGGTTGTTAGGTATTACAACTCTAGATTATGTAAAAACTCTCTCCGTTTATCACTCGTACACAAATTTTTTATAACTTAATTATTTTAAAACAGCTTATAACTTTTTCTTTACTAAGTTAATCTTAGTTTTACTACTAAATAAACTTGTTCTTCTCACAAAATTACATATAATACTCAAGTATTAGCTTTAAATCTTTTAAACTTATCGAAAAACGGCTTTCTGGTCTTTTTTCTTATAAATTTGTAAATAACTTCAAAACTGCTATCTAAACCTCTTTACCAAGTCTAAGAAAACTTAAAAAGCTCACCAGCCCATTATAACAAGCTATAGCTCAAGCTTGTAGACCAAAAACTAACAAAGTTATCTTTAACAATCTCTAAACTCTTATAATTTTCCTTTTCCTTTTTTTTTTCTCTTTTGCTTCTTAAAAAACAGATACATTTTCTGTATAACTTTCTACCGTGTAACCTACATTGCCCGGGCCTCAAATTTTAGTGGTTCTTGTCTAATTACACCAACTATTTTTAATTTCTTTTTATTTAGCACAAAACTAAACTTTAACAAATTTAGCTTTATTAAATTCATACGGAGTAACCTTTTAGCACCAACCAAATTAACGTAATACACATACCTGTAACATGTGTAGATCAGACCCGTGATTACCTGGCACCCTGTGATTATTTGTCACACCCTATGCTTATTTGTCATACCCCTATGCTTATTTGTCACACTCTATATTTATTTGCCACACCCTATATTTACCTGTTATATCCTACTATCATCTTACCTGCGTTCTATTGAACTCAAACTTTTGGAAAAATGCCTATTCTTACTCATACCACCGCTGATACTATTGATCTAGACACCTTTTACAACCTCCATCTAATGTTAAACCCGTTAATTGCTTTATTTACCTTCGCAGTAGTGGTGATAAAGCAACTCATTTCTTCAAAGCACCAACTTCAACCTCTATCGTTACTTGTATTTGCAAAAAATTCCATACCCACTTCATTTCCAACAATAACGATATCTATACATCTAATAACGAAAATCTCTCTGAAATTACTGCTCCTACTAAAAATTTTACTAAAAGACTTAATAAAACAACTGAGTTCATCCCTTCCTCTCCAACTCGTAACCAAACTGATACTAGACAACTTGAAACACACGATTGCAAAAAATATCAACAGCTGGTTGAATGCAAATTCTCTCCCAAAGAAAGCTGATCCTACCTTCACGAAAATGCTATCTACTATAAAGATAATATTTATCATAAAGCATGCCTCTCCGACAATAACACTCTTGAACCACTTACT